ACCACCAGCTTTCTTCACCACATTTGCTTGTGCACCCCTTGTCTTCAGCGGTCATGCCAGGAAGGTGAGCATCTCAGGTTGCCGAATTGTTAGAACAAAGTGTTCTTGTGTTGGGGAACACTTGAATAGAGGCCCACTGTCCATCGGTTTACTTAATACTAAACTTATGTACATAAATATGTTTACATAGATCTATTTCCCCTTGTGGTATATAAGTATGTTTACATCTGTATATGCCTGTATTGAAATCTCTATAACTGCCCTTTGCCTCCTAGTTCTTTCCTCTATTTCTTTGTACTTTCCTCTTGTCCCACTATCATGGTCAGCCTTCATTTGGGTGATCTTTTCACTTACCAGAATCCTCCCACTAGTCCTCCTGTTCACCATAGATCTTCCAGTGTGGGCTGCTTACTTAGGCACCATCTTGCCTCTCCTCTGAATATTTCTCAGTACCCTGATATTTTTAGAGTAAACAATTTAGTTTGTCTATTGGTGTATAATAATTTAAGTAGACAATCATATCCCTGATGCTTTTGAATCATCAGTTATAATTTTAAAACTACTAAAGTTTGTCCATAAATTAAAGGCTATCAAATGGATGTATAAAGAAAGCAAAATACGCACTGGCAAAAATGGCACTGAATAGTGTCCAACTGGAACCTCAACATAATCTGCATTGACGTAATAATCATAGTCATCTACAAACTCTAGATGTTAATTAGATTAATAAGCAAAACAAAGCTGCAATTAGATTATTCTTGGCTCAACAGTTGAAAGGCAAACATATTATCAGTTCGTCTGTATGAAACCATTAAGCCATGGTACATTTGGGTACTTCATCATTTGATTATGATTTATTAGCAAAAATCTCTTTGATCAATGATGATGAGGCATTTTAGTACTGTACTTCTGAGTATATAAAATTAGCCTCTGCTCTTGAATACCTCATATTTTAATTTTGCAATCTCTTTAGAGTTACCATGTATATTGTGCATGTTTTCAACTTACAAAACAAAATCATAGAACTCTTTAGAATCATGTCAGGAATTAAACACAATTCCTACCATTTCAAATTACAAGGCATTGCTAGGGCTGTAGACACTAGTAATGGAATGGCACTGAGAAAGATCCAGGCTGGAAAGTTGTCCACTTATGAACAGACAAAGGGAAAAGGGAGATGGAGAAAAGGAATCTGAAACTGTGTACATCATGATCCAAAGCAAAATGCTCAGAGTTGGAAAATGACTTCAGCAAAATGAGTATTTTGCTGAAGTGGGAGGAAAAACAATCAAGCTCTCTCCCTAGTGTCAATTTACATCAAAGCAAATCTTCTGTCAAATAAAAGAGGAATCTCAGATTTCAAGTTAAGCACCTGGATTTCTAAAATTATGAAAAGGAAAGACCTTTCCTAAGAATGAGAGCCACAGTGACCAGCAATTTCCAGATGGCTGGAAACAAAAACATAGTGAAATTCCACAATTTTATCATTGAAGACGTTTATGAACTTGATATCTCTGCAATGGATGTAATTAACATGACAAGATTATGCTGCCCTTATGATACTCTGGCCACCAGGGCTGTAGCTCTTCAAGTATAAAAATTGCAGCCATTACAACCACTGAGCACAAGAAGATTTGCTTCATAGTTGCCTTTGGTTACACTGTGAGTGTTGTGAAATTAAATACTATGGTGATTGTCAAAAGAGTTGTCATGCCCATTTAAAAAGTACCCATGTGGCTGTTCATTTTAATAAGAAGGGATAGATATGTTGTGATGTTTTGAAAATATGGGTAAATATATGTTATACAGCTAGGCAAGAATTTTTTCAGAGAAGTTTTTACTAATTTTTATAGTCATAACATCTCCCTCTTATGGATTACTATCTTCCCCTTCACCCAAATTAATATCTATCAATCCCTTCTAGTCTATTGCTTCAGCTTTTCTCCCTTACCCACTTAATATTGGTAACCTCCAAAATCTGTTTCCTTTCGTATGAAAGACTTTTCAAGATAAACAAGTGGCCAACTAGCTCAGAAGCAACAAAGCCCACATGGAAAAAGCACAGCAGCATGTGTGACCACGAGTGTTGAAGGGATCAGGTATCAAGCATCAAAGAACAAAAAATATCATTGTAAAGGTAGGTGAGTGCAGAGTGGAGACCTAAAGTACATTGGTAGGCAACTGGAGACTCCCTCACTGAAGGGTTGAGGGGAGGAGACGAGCCAATCAGGGTGCAGGGTAGCAACGATGAAACATAGAACTTTCCTCTAATTCTTAAAGGCTTCCCCCCACACACACACTATTATGATCCCAATTCTACCTTACAAATCTGGCTAGACCACAGGATGTACATTGGTACAGACAGCAACTGGAAAAACAGGGAATCCAGGACAGATTACTCCTTCCAGACCAGGAATGAAAGGGGTGAGGCCTGGAAGGTGAAGAGAATGTGGGGCTGAAAGGGGAAACAAATTACAAGAATCTAGGTATTGCCTCCTCCCTGGGGAAGGGACAGCAGAGAAGAGGGCTCGGTGAGACGTCGGACAGTGTAATTTATGACGAAACTATAATAAGTTGTAAATTATGAAGGGTTCATGAGGGAGGAGGGGTAGGGAGGGAGGGGGGAAATGAGCAACTGATATTAGGGTTGAGGTGGAGGGCAAATGTTTGAGAATGATGAGGGCAGTGAATGTACATATGTGCTTGACATAGTGGATGTATTTATGAATTGTGATGAGAATTGTATGCACCCCCAATAAAATATTGTTTTAAAAAAGAAAGACTTTTCTTCTTTATAACATGGAAATCATACAATATTTTGCTTTGTGATTGACTGATTTTGTTCAGTCTAAATGTTCTCCAGGTTGATTTACGCTTCAAGGACGTCTTGGTTTCATCTTTTCTTCTTTTCTTTCTTCTTCTTCTTCTTCTTTTATTTTTTTGAGATGCATAAAAATCAGTATTCTATTCTGTGTTTGTACCAGTCTCTATCCATTC